CATTTTGGGTTTTCATGAGCTGTATGCCATAATCATCAGTATTAAAACAATTAAAGACCTGAAATATTTCAGTTGGTGTGCAATGAATCTGAAATGTATGAAAGTTTCATTTTTATCATTACATTATGGAAAATAATGATCTTTATCACAATATGCAATTTTTTTAAGAAGGAACTGTATATAAAATACATGCCGGACGGCATGGTGGCTCAGTAGGTAGAGCTGTGGCCTCTCAGCGAAAAGGTTGCCATATTGAATCCTGACCCAGGGCCTTACTGGTTGTATTTTTTATGTTCTCTCTGTGCGTGGTTTTTTTTTTTGGGTTCTGCAGTTTCCTCCCACAGACCAAAACCATGCATGTTAGACTGATTGATAACTAAATTGTCTCTTGGTGTGAGTGAGAGAGTGAATGGTTGTTTGTCTAGTTTGTCTCTATGTGTTCCTGTGATGGACTGGAAACCTGTCCAGGGTGTCCCCCACCTCTCGCACCATGATGGCTGGATATGGACATCAGTGACCCCTGCGCCCCAAAAGGAAAGAAGTGGGTAAAGATAATGGATGAATAGTACATGCTTACAGCTTCAAGGGCTTGTATTCCTTGAATGAATGCATATCGCCCGCTGCTCATGCACAGTTTGAGTCAAAAATCAGGAAGAGAAATTAAATGGAAGAAGCAGATAAAAGATAATGGATGGAACACTCTCAGCTACTACCAAATCAGTTTAGCCCAATAACTGAAATTGAATTTTTAAGACTGAACAGTTTTTTTTTTTTTTTGTCAATTTCACTATTTGTTCAAGACAAAGGAAAACTGAAATACTGCTTTTCCCTTTCAACCCTTAAAAATAAATATAGATGAAGAGAAGAATAAAACTATAGATTATATTCAGGAAAATGAACATTTTGAAAAGAAAAAAATGTTTATGTCAAAAACAAAACTGTTTCTCTTATTAAATGGCCATTCATGTGTTGGTCGATTAACTGTAGCGGCCATATTGAATTGCGATGACATGAAAAGGTATGAGTTGTAGATGCAGTCATTACTTTTTGAGAGTTTTGTTAAAATTCATTCAGTGGTTCATGATATATTTTGCTAACAGACAAACAAGAATGATGTCAACAGTTATAAAAACAATTTAGGCAAAAATAGTTTGCATTGATTAGCGTTCAGAGTATGTTCTGGTTATGAAGCTCAGCTTCTACCAGACAAATGTTAGCCTAATAGTTGTAAAGTTGGTAGCTTCTGTTTTTTTTTTTAGGTTTATACACTTTGGCTGCCATCTTGGATTGGGTTGACTCCAAAAGTTCTTGATGTACACCCAATGACTGAAAGTTTTATTAAAATAATCTACTGGTTATTGGACTATTTTTGCTAACAGACCAATATTTAAATTAAAACGACAACAGACCTCGTGCAAACAGTTCTTTGAAGACATGCTGGGGGTGTCACTCAGCTACTAACACCAAATGTAAACTCAATATGTGAGAAACTGTCTGAATTATAGCAAAACCATCCCGCGTGGGGCCATCAGGATTAAACCGAACCATTTCAAACTTTCTGAGGTTTTAATTCCTGTGCATTGTTTCATAAAGGTGACGCTGATACTTTACTTCAAACAGAAAATCATTCAGAATGCACAAACTCTGTGCAACTGGTTGGATTTATTAACGTGAAAGCTTTTATACAAAGCGACAAAGACCTTTTCAGAAGGTTTAGAAGGCTCTTTCTCTGGATCCACGCTGCAAACAGCAAAGCTTCATGAGACCGGAGCGTTGCCAGGGGTAAACCTGTGTCAGGGGAATCTCTCTGCACGTTGAGATGAGTCAGAGCACTGCGTCTAAATTTACATCGTCACCGAGAAAAGACCTGCTTGGCTCTGACGTGTTCTAATTACAGGTCTGTCTCTCAGTTAAAGGTTACTCTTTATTGATTATCTGTACCATCGACCGACATCGGTGTGTCTGATGAAGTGAGTACGAGCCGAGGCGGAAACACTCCACGCTCATCAATCAGTCATAAAGGACTCGGCCCGCAGAGATAAATAAACGGCACGTCATTAACCCCACTGGGAACCTCGTGCTTTTAAAAATACAACCTTTGCATTCAACAGCAAAACGTTTGCTGGACCAAAGGTTTGCAGCAAAGAGCCAGACTCCACGAGAGCTCTAATTAGAGTTTTATTGGCCTTTCCAGACAGTTTATGATACTCCAGGCACTTATCTTCCTGATTGTCTGGTTTTAATTATGCAAATTCACTTTTACCGGAGGAACTTATCTTAACGGTAAAATCAAATGTTTTGCTGAGATTATGATTTGACTGAATTGCGGGCTCAATACAAGCCTGCTTGAGTCAAATTATGAGATCGATATAATCACTAGAGAATTTACATTTCGTGTGAAAATGCATTGTGAATGCTTATTACAGAAGAACTTGCTGAAAAACAGCTGAAATTAGCTACAAAAACATGCTGAAATGTAGCTGAAATGAAAGAAGACGCCTAAATTAGCAGAAGAAAACATATTTGCTGAATTAGGTTTAAAAAAGCAGAAATGAACATAAAAATTAGAAAATCAGCTTAAAAAAGGCTAAAATTAGAAAAAGTAGCCAAAAAGATAGAAAGAAGCTTAACCTATGAGAAAGAACTAGAAAGTGTTGAAATGAGCTAAAAAAAAATTTAAAAAAAAGTGGAACTAGCTGAAAAGGCTAAAATTTGCATAAAAACAGCCAAACAGTATCTGAAATATTTAAAATGCTTAAACTAGCTGGAAAAAAAAGCTGAAAGGGGCATAACAAGCTGAAATTAGTAGAAAGCGGTTAATTAGGCTGAAAGTAGCAAAAATTACCAAGAAAAACTTGAGTGTATCTGAAAACAGCTGAAATTAGCTACAATAATATTCTAAAAAGGTAGTTGAAAAGGCAGAACAAGCTTAAATTAGCAGAAGAAAGCAAAACATGCTTGCTCAGTTAGCCTGAAAGAAGCAGAAAGGAGCACATAAAGTAGCAATTATCTGAAAAAAAGCTGAAATTAGTTAAAAATTAGAATGAAAAAACTTTGAGTGCCAAACATGTGTAATTAGATGAAAAATCTTAAAATATAATATAAACAGCTATATAGTAGGTGAAATAGTAGCAAAAGCTGAAAGTTGCAGAAATAAGCTGAAAGGAGCATAACAAGCTGAAATTAGCAGAAAATGTTAGAAGAAGCACAACAATGTTATTGTTAGCAGAAAGAATCTGAAAAGAGCACAAAACAGCTCAAAGAACAGCTTAAATTAGCTGAAAGTAGCTGAAAAAAAGGTTCAAATTTGCACAAGGAAGCTGAAAGAAGCTGAACCAGAACAAAATGTGAAAGGAGCAGTAAAAGGTTGTAAACACATCTAAAGATTTGAAGGAGGTAAAATGAGCTTATTTCATTTTCTATGAGGAAAAAAATGGCAGATAAGGATAAATATTTCAAAAAGCTAAAGTTGCACCAATACCAAAAGTCATAGCAGGATTGTCCTGAAAGAGCTGAACGTTTTTATGTGACTTGTTGAAAGAGCACAAAAATTGTGGAAAAAGAAAGATGCTGAAAAACGTACAGAAGAAGGAAAGTAACTGTAAGAAAAATAAACAGAATCACAATAGTGTGAATGCTTGATAAGCATTCATTCACATGATGAAGGTTACACGTCTGATATTAAAAACACGAGCGTTTAGGTGCGGTGTTCTGAGTGGTGTGCAAAGACAAAATAATTCAAACAAGTTGTTTGAAGGTGTTTGTTGGAGCCCTGCTCTTCTCCTCTCCTTTGAATGGATGACGGCTTTAGTGGCACCACATTTGTTTTTGAAACCGTTTTTCCCAGAAGGCTTTGCTGCTGTTTTTGAGAAGTTTGGTGTGCAGCAAATATTGGTGATCAAAATATTTTTTTACAATCAGTGAGAAATTTATCCTAAAAAAAACAACATATTTAGGCTTTAAGCTTGCAAAGGTTTATTTATAACTGAGTGTCTTTCTGTGTCTAAAAGTCATTTTATTATTGTGAAAATCCACGACAGCACTGCTCTGGAGCTGAAAGCAACAAACATTCAAACTTTTCTGAGTTTGCTGTGACCTTTCTGTTACAAACATATGAAACTGAACCCTCACTAAATGTAGTTATTATTATTTCAGCTCCCCGGACTTGGAAATATTTAACTTCAGAGTTCTCATTACTGAAAAATGTTGGCTTGTTATGGCTACTTCTTCAGAATTTAATAAAAACAGCCTGAAGGTTTCGCAGGTCACGTCATTAGGAACATTATTTAGGGTGCATTTTTGACCAAATATAACATCTAAAAGTAATACTAATAATAAATATTATTCTTAATTTTAGTGCAATGTCTGCATTTTTACTATTGTTTTTAACTAATGAAACAATCAAGATCATTCTAGATCAAATAAATTCAAATGGTTATGCCTTAAAAAAAACGTGTTTGTATAAATATACACAGCTTGTGATGGTTAAAGTTATGTTGATTCCGATTTTCTTGTTGTTGTTGTTTTTGCTTGTTTGTTTATTTTCTTTTGAGCTGTTTGTTTTTATTTGGTGTGAAACACTTTGATTGATGGGTGTTTCAATAGGTGACATGTAATTAGCATTTAAAAGTACAATACAGAAGCTTTGAACAGGCATATCACAATAAAGTGTTTACTTAATAAACAATCAAATATAGTTTCCTTTAGACTTTGCGCTGACTCAAAGACACGTGCGTTGGTGTTACAGTCTTTGACACAGAGTTCTGACGGATCTCATAAGATTTAGGATCATTTATTTCCTCCACTGTATTTTCACGACAGACTTGATGAATATGATTGCTCAAAGAATATTTTAAAATTTACCACATCTCTAAACCAGTGACCCAAGTTTTAATCACTCCACAAAATCCAGACTGGAACAAAATCCTCTATTTTGCCCATTTTAATTATTTCTTAAGTGGCAAGAATGATTTCTTCTTTATGATAATTTATTAACAAATCTGGGCCTGGATACAGACCACAGACCCTGCTCTGCAGATTCCCTCTGCAGGATATTTATAAAAAAGTCTAATCACCGATTTATTTGGCTCCTGCACTTTACGTCTGCATAGAAGAGATGCATACGTATAGAAAATATCCAGTTCCTCTAAAGACATACAATTAAATTAATTCTGCTAAAATTTAATGAAAGTTTTACGACACATTGTTCATCATTGTAAAATCTCTCACCTTGTTTCAATGTATCTGGCACCAACATGAGGACTCTATGTGAACACTTTTTGTAAGACGTAACATGTTAAATTAAACTATTGATGGGATGAAAGGCCTATCTTTGAAGGAATGCATATCGCCCGCAGGTTTCAGTAAGAGTTTGAATCTTTATCTCCTTGTGTTGGGAAATGATGGCTCTGTAAATGTTTTGGGTCAAACGTACAATCTGACAACGTCTCATCACTCACGATCATTTGCACTTAAAGTTTGTTGTAAATGACTCTCGGCTACCACCACAACAAATATCTAGCTGAGCGCATGTAAAACTCACTGTTTTAGCCATTTATAAGCTAAGATTGATTTAGTTTGGTTCACCATCTTGAACTGTGTTGACAACAAACATGTAAATGCATGGCCAGTGACTGCTTTCTGAAAGTGTCAATGAAATCCATCCAACAGCTCATGAGATATTTTGCTAACAGACAAATTGACTTAACTCCAACAGTTAAAGCCATAGTTTTAAGCCAAAATATCACACAATGTATTGCGCTTAAAATATGTGTTGAACACGAGCGTCAACTATGATTTCACCAAAGTTTAGCTCAAGGAGTTGTTGCCTTTTTTTTGCTTTCTAAGGTTGTTTAGCTGCGGCAGCCATCTTGAAAGTGATTAACACCAAAAGTTAATCAGTTGTAGACACAAATCTAATAATCATTTTCTGAATGTTGCATTAAAGTCTGCTGAGCTGTTCATGAGATATTTTGCTAACAGACTGACAGAGTTGACTCCAGCTGTTAATGATACAGTTTTGAAAACAGATTTCCGGTCAGTTGGTCCACAGACTGTGAGCTGGGGGTCAGTCTCAGCTGCTAACATACTAAAGTTTCAGCTGAATATTTGTTTTAAACTAATAAAGTTTGACCCATGTGTGTGTTTTCTAAACTTGTTTGGCTGCAGCTGCCATGCTTAACTTTACTGACTCCAAAAGTTAACCACCTGTAAATGTGTATCTAATGAATAATGTCTGAAAGTTTTATTCAAACCCGCTCCGTGCTTCAAGAGAAATGCAATAAGAGCAAAAAAAACATTATCGCCCCCAGGGGCGGGCGACCACCCTGCACATACCTAAGGGCAGAAAGAAGAAAAAGGGCAGCCAGCAGAGGATGAACATGCCCACCACGATGGCCAGGGTTTTGGCAGCCTTCTTCTCGCGGGAGAACTTCATGAGGCGCACGGAGAGGGAACTTCGGAACGGGTGGTTCTTGCTGCTCTTGGAGCCGGCGGGGCGCGCGTCCCCCAGCACGCTGCGGCAGTGGATGCGCAGCACCACCTCCACAGACTTGTCCCTCTCGCGCTTGACCCCCGCCTCCAGGCTCCGGGTGGTCCTGCGGGCCACCACGTACACCCTGAAGTACATGATGAGGATGACCATGAGCGGCAGGTAGAAGGAGAACAGCGAGGAGAAGAGCGCGTAGCCCGGCTCTTCAGTGATGCTGCAGACGCTGTCGTCCACGGGCGGGGGCTCCTTCCACCCCAGCAGGGGTCCCACGGAGATCACCACGGAGGAGACCCACACCAGCACCAGGATGGCCGCCGCCCGCCTCTCCGTCATGATGCTGGGGTACTTCAGGCAGTGCTTCACCCCGATGTAGCGGTCCACCGAGATGATGCAGAGGCTGAGGATGGAGGCGGTGCAGCACAGCACGTCCACAGCTGCCCAGATGTTGCAGAACACCCGGCCGAACGCCCAGCAGCCCAGAACCTCCAGGGAGGCGGAGAAGGGCAGCACGATGACGCTCAGCAGCAGGTCGGCCATGGCCAAGTTGACTATGAAGAAGTTGGTGATGTTCTGCAGGTGCTTGTTGCACACCACGGACAGGATGACCAGGATGTTTCCCACGAACGCCACCAGGATGAAGGCGGACAGGAAGATCCCGACCCCGACAACCTGCGGGTCCGTGATGGTGAAGTTCCTGCACCCTGTGAGGTTCTGGTCCAGGACGGAGTCGTTGAGCGTCTCGAAATCCAGCCCGTAGTTGCTGTCATTGCGCAGATTAGACTCTGGCATTTTGCGCCATAAAGAGAACTTTTTAGAGGAAGTTTTAGTGTTTTTTTCAAGGAAAGCGAGCGCAGCGGAGTGCAGCGCGCCTCGCTCCATCCAGACAGACACCCGGGTGGCTGTCAGCAGCTTCAACCCTTACAGCCATCAGGAGCACCAATAATAACCAGATTAATAATAAATTAAAGCAATGCATCCGTGCGCGCGTCTGGAAAATTGTCTTCCAAAAAGTAAACTCACTGAAAATTCAGATCCTGTTTCTGTAAAGTCATAAACAAAACAGAATATAAATATATAAAAAAAAAAAAAAAAATCACATTTAGGTCCATGAAGCCATATTTTTATTCCAGTGTTTCGTGCTGCATCCTTTGGTCCAACTCTGACTGGGAGCTGGTGCCGCAGGTCTGAACCCTCAGCTCCACCCACACGGATCACAGCATGTCCACAGTCTCCACAAGAGAGCGTCCACAGCCACACATGACCACCACTCAAACATCACACACACATAAATATGATTTCTGTGTTGATATTATTGTTTCACACAGTGAGTTCAGTGTAAACTAACCAACAAGTCTGTGCTGTCATTAGAAAAAGAGAGCCCTCAGGCAAAGCGATGAAGTTTCCCAGACAGTGGAGCTGCCATCTCCAAGTGTGCTTTTAAAGAAGGGACAGGCCCTTCCAAACCTCCAGGGAGCTGCAGGGAAGGGACAAGAAGCAGGATGTTTTGTGAGGAAATGAAAACCTCAAAGTGTCACTTCAGCTTGTGTGACTAACACAACACAACTTATTTAAATATGATGAGTGGCAAACCTGCAGACAGGTCACACTAAATATCTCTGCCCCATGCACAAACACACTTCCTGTGTGAATCTATCTACTGCCTCTCAGCAGCAAACACGACCGGTGTTTAAAAAAATAATAATTTTAATAGTTTGATTTGTACGTCCTTAAATGTCACCCGTAAAGATTTTTATTCTATTTTGTAATAAAAAATGAGTAACACCTTTAAAATGAAGAAGTTTTCTTTGATCACTGTATGAGGAATACTGGCCCAGTTTGGTTCAGGTCCTGATCTTTTAAAAACGACATCACAAAAATGACTAGCTGGTTATCTGTTCTTGTTTATTCATTGCTGTATAAATGCTGTAAAATTCAGACGAACAATTTTAACACAAACAAAAAGTATTTTGTCTCAAGCTGGCATAAAGAAGATTCTTTTGAACATTACTGTATTTTCAGGTTATTTTGTTTCTTATTTTTGTCTCATTTGTTATGTGTATACCGTACGTGCTGCCGTAAACATCGCACTACCCTATAGGTCGCATCAATACAAATGTATCTAATAAAGTGGAAAAAAACAAAAACATAAATAAGTCACTTCACCGTATATGTCACATCTATCATCTATCATGCGTCACCGCTGACAACCCAGAAATGTGGACCGGTGTTCTGCCAAAAATCGATTGGTTGCCAAATGGCAGCCACGGGAGCATGCACGGGAGGACTTTAACAATAAATTAACAAGATTAACGCTTAAAAACACTCATTTGTTTGCTCTAAATTATAGCAAATGTGTGTCACAGTTGAACTTTTTCTTAATAAATGCACTTTGACGGTTAAATTAGTTGCATTTCCAACGCCAATACGCAGAAGTGGGATTGCGCAGAGGGACAAGTCATTGTGCATTTCTTCAAAACGTAACAAGATAACCACCTAAAAACAATTATTTGTTTGCTCGACATAGCAAAGGTGTGTCTCAGTCTTTTTCTTAATAGATGCACTTTGACGGTCAAATCAGCTGCATTTCGCCTGAGCGGCGCAGCAAAATGCAGCTGATTTGAGGTTTGCTCCAGGAGTTCCAGAGTGAGACGAAAGAAGCCTGTAAGGCAAGCCAAATGTCTCATTAAAAGCCACTTTTGCCTATTAATCAGACTCATGGCTTGCCAAATGGGTCCAGGGTCCTCTAGTGGCGAAAATTGGTAGTGTTCAATATTTTCCATGTCAGAATGAATGAAATAGTCAGTGTTTCCCTTTACAGGTTTGTGGATATGAAACCAGGTAAGTTGAGTTGGATGAAGGAGAGTGCAGAACAGACCTTTAGGCTAAATGATGAGATGTTAGGGTTGATGTCTTATTGGTTAGGCTGTAGTCAGAGTCAGAGTCAGTTTCTTTATTGTCATTCGCACCTCATGTGGTACATGTGGTGGAGCGAAATTATGTACACAGGGTCCCAGTTACATCCAACAATAAAATGT